AATGATCAAGAATACTGGGAGCTGTAATCTAAAACATCTGGAGGGCACCAAGTTGGAGAAGACTATCTTAGCCATTATGCAGCACTAATGTAATTTTTTTGCAAATTCTTTTAAGTTATCAGTGATACTGCTTTCAAACATGGTCTTCATAATTTAAAAATTATTTTTAAAACCTGCAGATTATGTTTTTATTTCCAGACTCTAAACCATTCCTCTTCCATCAAACCCTATTTTGTGCAGCTTTTTCTAATACAAGGCAAGCGCAGATGGGAAGGATGTTGCCAAACCAGAATTTACAACTTGATATTGCATTGCAAAACCCATCAGGTGCTGGAACTTTTCCACCCATAAGAAACAACAGCCCTTATTCAGTGATACCTCAGCCCGGAATGATGGGCAGTCAAGGAATGATGGGAAATCAAGGAAACCTAGGGAATAATAATCCAGGTAAAAGGAACTCCAGAACTTCTCTTTTTCATGATGTTTTTCATGACTGAGATTTGATTTTAGCTTGTTAACTAGTGAATAATCTAATTTTGGGGAAGTTCAAACACTGAAAACATAAATATTTTTATGTTTTATTATTAGTTATAACACAAATTCAGTCTGATTATTTGCAGTCTCTGGAATGTGTTGCTATTTGCCATTAGTTTTATGGTTGCAGGAGTGCAGATGTGCTGGTTTATTTCTGGGAAAGCATATTTGTCAGCATGAACATTTCTATCAAGTAACACATGTTACAACAATGATTAGAGAAATTAGATAATGCTCCTATTTACCCTTACCAGGCTTAGCATGGGTGGCAAAAATGTGTCATATGTAACTCTTACAATCCAAAGAGAAGAGTGAGGATAACAGAGAAATTATCACTGAAATGCTGCCAGATATAATACACTATTAAACATATTTTTAACCAAAAAGCATACTGAAAAACATTTCCTTGATTCTTGCAACTGCTTCTTTGAAAACCCACCAAAGCTCAGTCTAGTGCTCTATTTGTTTGTCTTTGTCAATAGGGATGATTGCTGGTAATACACCTCGGCCTTCTATGCCATCAGGAGACTGGGGAGCCCAAGGTGCTGCTGTGAGGGTGACCTGTGCTGCAACAACAAGTGCCATGAACAGGCCCATTCAAGTGGGCATGATACGCAACCCTACATCCAACCTCCCGTTGAGACCTAACAGCCAGTCTGGTCCAAGGCAAATGCTTCAGTCCCAGGTCATGAACATGGGTAAGCAGGAACCGAATCATCATATGGTCTCCTTTGTTAATGGGTTTTACATGATGACAGAAAGCTAGATTTAATTGCATGCGAATACAGGTGTTCAAGATATGAGACACTGACTGTCCAAGCAGGTAAGGTTTGTGCTACACTTTTTTTTCTTTTTCTTTTCGGCTATACCTTTGTAAGCCCATGAGTACAAATCCAAAAGCCCTTTCACAGGTCTGTGATTGCATTGTTACTACAATTTAAGACTCAAATTAATCCTAATTAATCCAAATTAATGCATGTTGCCCATGTGACAAGGGTTGCTTTAAGGAAGTGTAAACTGCATTTAAGGAAATAATACTGTATGTGGCAAGCTTTTTTCAATGCCATCATCCTTGTAAGATTACTTACTGATTACTTGCTGATTCCAGTGAGATTTTCTGTTTCTGATCTTTCTCCCTCAGGGGCTTCTGAACTGGAGATGAATATGGTTGGTCCCCAGTATACCCAACAGCAGGCTCCCCCCAATCAGACAGCACCATGGCCAGACAGTATCTTGCCTATAGATCAGACATCCTTTAGTAATCAGAACCGGTGAGTCTTTTATAAGTAAAGAGTGGTATGCTAGAATAATCCATCAACTCAATGCATTGTGGAATTCTGAAACACTTCCAAATGTCTTGTAAGTTCAAAACACAAACAATATAAAATGGAACTAAATGCAGTTTATAAATATGCAATGAAAGCTAAAATTTTAGCACAACTTATTAATGCAGGGCTTTGAAATTTACCTTAAAATTAACATTTGTAAGCACTAGAATAATCTGAAATCATTGCTTAGAGTGTAAGTAGATGGAAAGATACTTTGCTTATTTGTAATAATAAGCAAATTAACTCTCATCAATATGAACAAATAAATTTCCATTTGGTAATTTGGTTTAAGGGTTATTTATAGTATTGCTATTTAGTATTTGTTCCATATTGTCTGTTTTTACCATATTTTACAATATTTCTTTAATCATAACTCAGAATACTGTTTAGCATAATGAAATAGCTGATCAAATTACAAAATAAATTAATAAATAAATATTAAATTAATAAATTAAAGTTCACTCCTAAGTCATTGAAAACTGCCTGAAGTCACTGTAATACTGTATAGTGTTTGTTTCTGTTATATTGTTGCTTATTTTCTGTTCTGGTTTTATTTTGTAACTTTGAACCAGCTTTGGCACAATAGAGGGCCCAAAAGACTAGCTAGAAAGGATTTAAAAAATAAACATACATACTAGGTGAAAGGAACTACAAACAGTTTACTGACTGCCTTTATATTAATTCTTGTTACAAAGGTATAAGGAAGACAATTTCATTGTGGCTTAATGGCCATTTTATATGACCTGCTTAAGATCAATGAGGAAGAACAAACAGCTAGCTTCCTCTACTCATTTACTTCAATAAGGTTTCAGCATTACTCCTTATCATGGCAGTTTTTATCCAGACTCAAAGAAGTAAACTGTGTCTCAGGCCAGTTCTCAGCCTTGTACAGCTTGTAAGGTTAGTTTCTGTGCCATGAACTCCTCTTACCAATCTTTGGAGGATAAAACTAGCACCTTGATTGATTCTGTATACTCCTGACAGCTGCTTAGTTTTTATCACAGTAGCCATCAGGCAGTATTTCAGTATGGTTTGCATGGTATGACCACGCAAAGGAAGTTGCTGTAGGTTGCCTGAGATCACTCGGCTGTGATAATATGATATTCAACTTCAGCCAGGTTCCATTCTGAAATTAGCACTGCAGCAGGATCACCTTCACCATTAATTGTGCCTCAGACAGCGTAAGAGAAATGAATACATTTAAATGGAATCAATTTAATTTTATTGAAGTTAGAATGCTGCACTTTATAGCTAGTTCTTACTTAAAAGCAAAATTGTTTTAACAGATCAATCCTGGAAACAATCTTATTAAATTAATTGATTTTACCACCACCACCACCACCATCGTGCAAAATTGTTCAAGGCAGTATACAAGCCCATCAGAAAACTTAGAAACCAAAACAATATCAGTAAACTAAACCATATACATGTCAATAAATGAATTTTCTTGTTAAGATTTAGCTGCTTGGAAGGAATCACAATTTCATGAGGAGGTTCCTGTGCACACTTGGTAAAACCACCTGTATGTATGGTCTGTATGTACATGGATTCAACAAACCCAGTATAAAAGTCTTATCACATCAGAACAGTATAAGCTAAGCTGTGATGAGCTTTCATTCTCAACCTCTTTTCCTGAAGGCCAAGAAAGTTATCTAACCTATTGATGATGGGATAAGGAAGCTTGTCAATGAGGAAATTATCAGCAGAGTCAGGGTTGTTGAAGGATGCTCACCTCACATTTGTCAAGTGCCATGGGGTGCAATGAAGCCAGTGGACTACTGTTGCTATTTGGTCTTCATTGCAGCCCATCTGCCTGTGCTAACTGGCTCTCAGCTCTTGGAACCTGAACTGTCCTAGCAGAAGGCACTTGCTTAGCTTAAGTGACAAGGACTGGATCTCGAGAACACATTATGCCAGACCTCTTGGGGCTGTCTGTTGTAGTCCAGCAAAATTCAAAGTGCTATTGTTAACATACAAAGCCCTAAATGGCTTGGGGCCAGGCTATCTGAAGAAATGCCTGTCCCTACCTGGTCATTAGGATCGTCATGCACGTAACGCTGGAAAATGGAAACAGCTTAATGAATATGTAACATTATACTGGTGTTTGTGACTATCCTGTGAGTCTCTAGGATCCTTCTGGTGAGTAAGGAAGTGTTGTTCCTATATCTTCTTACTTCAGTAGTTGCTTACCACATGCTTTTTTACAGACAACCATTTGGAAGCCCTCCAGATGACCTGTTGTGTCAGCATCCTGCCTCAGAGTCTCCAAGTGATGAGGGAACCCTCCTTGATCAGCTGTATTTGGCACTAAGAAATTTTGATGGTCTAGAAGAAATTGACAGAGCTCTTGGGATACCAGAACTAGTCAGTCAGGTATTTACATGACCTGTGCATCTGAACCACACCTATATATATCAAACCTTTTTATGGTCCCTAAGCCAATATATGTATTGGTTCACATGTTTAACATTCTGTGCTCAGGTACATGTCTGTGTTTTTTAGCAGAGCCAAGCTGTAGATCCAGAGCCATTCTCAAGTCAGGAATCAAGCATCATCCTAGAACAAAAGACACCTGTTTTCACACAGCAGTATGCATCTCAGGCTCAAATGGCCCAAGGCAACTATACACCAATGCAGGACCCAAACTTTCACCCAATGGCGCAACGACCAGGTTATACAGCACTGCGGATGCAGCCTAGGCCTGGTCTGAGGCCTGCTGGCATAGTGCAGAACCCACCGAATCAGCTGAGGCTACAGCTGCAACACAGACTTCAAGCACAGCAGGTATCTCATGTTTGTATATGCTCTACTGCTATTTTTATAGGCAGATAGTCTTAAAGAAGTACAGTAAGATAGTTTTGGTTGCTTTCATTTCTCATAGGAAATAAATGCTACATTGACTTAGTTTTCCTGATAATGTGTATTTATTGGGAATATTCAGGTCTGTCATGCTTGCTCAAAGCTCTCATTCTGCCTTCTGATCCATTTTTGTTATCTAGGCTGTAATGTAGGTCATGATGTAGGGGCTTAATTTTTTCCAGATATCCTGCAGTATTATTTAGCTGCTGGCCAAATGTGAAGCTAAAACAAATGTGTGCCTCCAAAAACCATGGTGAATAAAATCTTCCTTTACAATGGCAAAATCTATTTGTAGTTGACCCTTTACCTTTTCTTAGGGTATTCTCCAGATTTACCATTGTGAGCTATTGTTGAAGTATGGGAGAGTTGCCTGATGCTTTCTCATTCTTTAATAGGCACCCAAAGCTCATTTGTACTTCATCCATGTTTTAAAAATGCATGCAGTTCATTTATGCAAGGAACAATCAAGGCAGACTGTCTTAAAACTGTATGTTGCATGCTAGTATAGCTACAGTATATCACAGAAGTGAGTACACCCCTCACATTCTGTAAATATTTTACTATATGTTTTCATGTGACAACCCTGAAGAAATGACACTTTGCTACAATGTAAAGTAGTGAGTATACAGCTTGTATAACAGTGTAAATTTGCTGTCCCCTCAAAATAACTCAACACACAGCCATTAATGTCTAAACTGCTGGCAACAAAAGTGAATACACCCCTAAGTGAAACTGTGAATTGGGCATTATTAGCCATTTTCCCTCCCTGGTGTCATGTGACTCGTTAGTGTTACAAGGTCTCAGGTGTGAATGGAGAGCAGGTGTGTTAAATTTGGTGTTATTGCTCTCCCTCTCTCATACTGGAAGTCACTGGAAGTTCAACATGGCACCTCATGGCAAAGAACTCTCTGAGGATCTGAAAAAAAGAATTGTTGCTCTACATAAAGATGGCCTAGGCTATAAGAAGATTGCCAAGACCCTGAAACTGAGCTGCAGCACAGCGGCCAAGACCATACAGCAGTTTAACAGGGCAGGTTCCACTCAGAACAGGCCTCGCCATGGTCGACCAAAGAAGTTGAGTGCACATGCTCAACGTCATAACCAGAGGTTGGCTTTGGGAAATAGATGTATGAGTGCTGCCAGCATTGCTGCAGAGGTTGAAGAGGTGGTGGGTCAGCCTGTCAGTGCTTAGACCATACGCAGCACAGTGCATCAAATTGGCCTGCAGGGCTGTCGTCTCAGAAGGAAGCCTCTTCTAAAGATGATGCACAAGAAAGCCCGCAAACAGTTTGCTGAAGACAAGCAGACAAGGACATGGATTAGTGGAACCATGTCCTGTGGTCTGATGAGACCAAGATAAACTTATTTGGTTCAGATGGTGTCAAGCATGTGTGGCAACAACCAGGTGAGGAGTACAAAGACAAGTGTGTCTTGCCTATAGTCAAGCATGGCGATGGGAGTGTCATGGTCTGGGGCTGCATGAGTGCTACCGGCACTGGGGAGCTACAGTTCATTGAGGGAACCATGAATGCCAACATGTACTGTGGCATAAGAAGCAGAGCATGCTCCCCTCCCTTCGGAGACTGGGCCGCAGGGCAGTATTCCAGCATGATAACAACCCCAAACACACCTCCAGGATGAACACTGTCTTGCTAAAGAAGCTCAGGGTAAAGGTGATGGACAGACCAAGCATGTCTCTAGACCTAAACCCTATCGAGCATCTGTGGGGCATCCTGAAACGGAAGGTGGATGAGTGCAAGGTCTCTAACATCCACCAGCTCTGTGATGTCGTCATGGAGAACTGGAAGAGGATTCCAGGGCAACCTGTGAAGCTCTGGTGAACTCCATGCCTAAGAGGGTTAAGGCAGTGCTGGAAAATAATGGTGGCCACACAAAATATTGACACTTTGGGCCCAATTTGGACAGTTTCACTTAGGGGTGTACTCACTTTTGTTGCCAGCAGTTTAGACATTAATGGCTGTGTGTTGAGTTATTTTGAGGGGACAGCAAATTTACACTGTTATACAAGCTGTATACTCACTACTTTACATTGTAGCAAAGTGTCATTTCTTCAGGGTTGTCACATGAAAAGATATAATAAAATATTTACAAAATGTGAGGGTGTACTCACTTCTGTGATATACTGTATATGTAGCCATATGTATAGAAGTGACATTTCTATGTAGTTTATGTCTCATGGCAAGAGAAAAAGCAGTGAGGAACATGATAAAGAGAAGCAGACACAACAGATTGAAAGTGTATGTATGGAAGCACAACTTGTTGAGTAACTTTTCCTGGTGCTCATCTTTAGCTGACTTTATACTAGTGTAACTTTCTTACCATTGTGATTATTTGAGGTTTTATGACAGATTTGCTAACCAATATGACATAGATGCCCTGTACACAGCAATACATGATACAACTCTATGTGCACAGAAAGGGGTGCAAAGAAGGTGGTATCAGTAGTAAAGAATTTCTGTGAATGGGACAGCTCACACAGGAGGTAAAAGGAAGGAAGCAAGTGACAGATAGAATTGTTCCCCATGGTTCTTACTGTAGGACCAAACCATTATTGCTCTTTATGTTTGAATGTGAATTCTTCATCAAATTGAATATTGCAAAGTACAAATGCCTAAAGGAAGTGGAATTGATCCAAACTTAGTCATACTTAGAGGAGAGCCACCAAAATAATTGGGATTTAAATTGGTGTGCTCCAAGTATGACTAAGTCAATCTAGATCCAATCCATGGGCTACAGTAAAGATTTGCAGTTGGTACATGTATGATATACTGACTTGATTCAGACTTAACACCAGCTCATGACATCACATTAACAAGTTAAGCCTTTGTTGCTCCATCTTCAGTATTTACATTCAGATTTCATTCCATGGTTTGGCCTTTATCTCATCTAATTGCTTTAATAGTGTGTACTTGTATGACCAACATATAATCAGTGTTTGTGAGTGAAGAATTCTTTCTTATGATTCTTTTATGATTAATTCCTTTTGGGTTTCTTTACATAATTTTTTTTTGTCCTAGAATCGCCAGCCACTGATAAATCAGATTAGCAGTGTTTCTAATATGAATTTGTCTCTGAGACCTGGAGTACCTACACAGGTGAGGGAACAGGTACTGAATATTTTTCTATTCTGTAGACATATCTGTGGCCTAAGATATGATGCTAACATTAGGCGTAATTGCCTCTGCTGCTGCAGTGTTCTAGTTTTAAGTGCAGTTAGTAACACCACTTGGTTCTTCACAGTTCCCTTTGAGAATGTTCTGGCTATCTGTGAAGTGAGACATTAGGCTTCTCCATGCCTCACCAGAGGAGTGGCTTGCTGTAAAGGGCCGGTTCTTACCTGTAGCTTTTGAGAAAGGGAGAGAAAGTGTTCTTTCTTTCCCAAAGTCCCCCTTGAGAATATGCACCAAAGATCATTGTTCTAGTGTCTTTAATGAATCAGCAGGACTCTTGCATCAGTTGCAAGGGATCTTGCTGATATTTCAGTGGATTGGCAGTCTGTGGCAGTAGGAGAGATCAGCACAGCAGCTGGAGACACTCAAATAAACTGATCTCTGAATTTTTAATTAATCTGTTTCTGAGTCTGTCAGATGCAAGTTATTCTTGTTTATTGTTTCAGTGCTTCTGTGAGCAATGTATGCTTTTCTCTGAAATGTTATTTGAGGGAGAAAAATGTGAAACCTATTTTTAATGTGAATGTTACTTGAATCAGTCTAGGTTCTTTTGTTTAGCTTTCAGAAGTGCGAAATCTAATTGATGATTCACTGGGAGAAATTGCCTTATTTTATTTTCCTGGGGTCCAAGATCACTGCAGACGGGGACTGCGGCCAAGAAATTAAAAGATGCTTACTCCTGGGGAGGAAAGCTATGGCAAATCTAGACAGCATACTAAAAAGCAGAGACATCACCCTGCCAACAAAAATGCATATAGTCAAGGCTATGGTTTTCCCAGTTGCAATGTATGGCTGTGAAAGCTGGACCATAAGAAAGGCTGAGCGCAAAAGGATTGAGGCCTTTGAATTGTGGTGCTGGAGGAGACTCCTGCGAGTCCCTTGGACCACAAGGCGATCAAACCTGTCAGTCCTAGAGGAGATCAACACTGACTGCTCTTTAGAAGGCCGGATCCTGAAGATGAAACTCAAATACTTTGGCCACCTAATGAGAAGGAAGGACTCCCTGGAGAAGAGCCTAATGCTGGGAACAATAGATGGCAAAAGAAGAAGGGGACGGCAGAGAATGAGGTGGCTAGATGGAGGCACTGAGGCAGTTGGTGTGAGCTTAGGTGGACTCCGGGAGATGGTGGAGAACAGGAAGGCCTGGAGGAGTGTTGTCCATGGAGTTGCGATGGGTCGGACACGACTTCGCAACTAACAACAACAACAAGCCATTTATATCAGTTAACTATGATGATGTGACCTTTTCTGAAATGTCTCACTCTAAAATAAGAGGCCATAGTTAAGGGACAGGCCACATACCTTTCATGCTGAAGATCCCAGTTCAGTCCTTGACTTTTCTAGGATTTTTTAAAAAAGAGGATTGGGAAATACCTTTTGGGTGTTGGGTTGGGAAATACCTTTTGAAGCCCTAGAGTGCTTCCACCTGTCAGAGAGACAATTGTGGACTCTTGGGATAAGTAACCTGACCTTATATAAAGCAGCTTCCTATATTCAGTGCCAGAAACAAAGCTCTCCCACTGATTGCCAAGTTACAGTAGCTTCTTGTTTATAAAGCCAAGTTCCTGAAAATATATTGCTAGCTGTTTGTCTTGATACAATTTTTTTCTCTCCTTTAGGGACCTATCAATTCACAGATGGTGGCACAGAGGCAAAGGGAATTATTGAGCCAGCACTTGAGGCATAGACAGATGCAGCAAGTGCAACAGCGAACTCTGATGATGCGAGGACAGAGTATGAATATGACACCAAGTATGGTGGCCTCTGGTGGGATACCAGCAACCATGACCAACCCACGGATTCCCCAGGCAAACCCTCAACAGTTTCCATTTCCTCCAAACTATGGTATTGGCCTTATATCAACACTTTTAAGTGCTCCTTGCTATCTAACATCCACTTCTGGAGTATATCTTCACTCACAACTCCTTGCATGGCTCCTAGATAAATTTAGCTAACTGGGAATAGTGGAAATTCAGCAGAGATACTATTGTTGTTGAAAATCCTTTTTGGAATGATTACAACATACAGTCTGAATTCAAATGGCACAATAACTAGCTTGGGGGAAGGGATTGTGGCCAAATCTGGATGACTTCCTACAGAGTGGCTTATTTGTGGCAACAAGCCACCATTGCAAATCATGGTTTAGTCTAGGGGATGGGTTGTTGTGTCATCTGAACCCAGAAACAGATCCTATTATGTGTTGCTGGAAATGGTAAGTGAGCCATTTGGCAGTTATCCTTTCCATTTACTTTCCAGTCATGCAATCTGACTGACAAAGAAATGCACAAACATTCCAAAATACCTTTAAAAAAGTAGAGCTTGCAGAATGATGGAGAGTGAATGCAGCTTCCCATGTGGCCTCAATCATTCTATCACATCCAGCTTTCTTGTCCGAGCATTTTCATAAGCTACCCAAAGAATCACAGCAAGTTTCCTGAAAGGAGACATGAAAACTGGGTGGCCTCAAGGTATTAGCTTTCCGGACTAGTTGGAGACTGAGGAAGTGTCCCAAAGGTGTAGGATGGTAAGAAGTGTCAGTTTGACATTGGCTTATTCTGTTGCCATTGACAGCTGTAATTGACAGGATAGAAAGGCAAAGGGGGTGCACTTTTACAACTCCAAAAGACCATCTTCAACAAAGAAAATTAAAACATTTGTGCTCATTTCAGTGGCTGGAAAAAATAACATCAGTTGGACTGTTTGAAATCTCCAGAGGGCAGGAAGAATGGCAAAGAATGAAAAGGGGTTGCTATTAGAACAACAGTAGAAGAAAAGAGGTTGTAGAGAGGTGATGAGTGGGACAAGTCAGCTTGTGGACACTGGAATATCAGCTGGAGGACCAAGGGAAAAGTGTGAGAAGAGCAACCCACAATGAGCCTGATCATCTGTTGGATACAGCATGGTTATTCCATGAAAAATCCCCATTGTGTAGCTTATTTGCTTGTGGGTTGTCTTGCCATGGAGATTTGATCATAGTTTCATTAAGAGCTCCTAAGTGAAGATCTAAATTAAAGAAGAGAGTGAACTTGGTTCCCTTTCTTCAGTAATCTCATAGAAGAATATGAGACTGAGGGCATTTTCATTTTTTTCCCAGTGTATTTAATTAAGTTTCTGGCCTATAAATGTATTTCAGTTCGCTGTCTGCCTTGCAAATAAAATATACATAAGTTCCTCTGTTATCAAACATGCTTATTTTTGTAAGCCTGGTGTCAGTCTGCTTTGGTTTTGTTTTTCATATTGTTTATCAAGGTAGTAATTCCTCAGTATGCAACCTTTTATTATTTGATACCATAATTTTCACAGCTTTAAATGATGGGGCTGTTGATCAGTGGTTTTAGCTATACCTATACCCCTAACGAAAAGTGGAGGTTATTTTTCCATAGTGTCCCTAGATGCAGTGTTCTAAGTGTAACATTAATGTTGTGTTTATGTGCAAAGTGAGAGAGAATGGGAACAGTGACATGCCTTGCACTATCTATGAAAGGAAAGCAGCTGTGGTGGCAAAATTGAATTTTTGCTTTGTTCTGTCCTTGCGCAAAGTATCTTCAAATAGATTCTAGTGCTACAGGCTTCCCATAACCTGATACACTGCAAATGCTTTCCATTTCAACACCCATCAGCTCCAGTCAACATGGGCAATGGTCAGGAATGCTTAGATGTAGTCCAAAACATCTGGACGATACCAGAATTTATTTATTTAGGTTTTCATAACCTGTACATTAACAGAGAGTTCTGAAAACCATTATACAATAAAATGCTAACAAAACGGTATATAATAGCCACAATCAGTTTAAAACAGCAATATCAGCAATTATTTAAAAACAAGTGCACCAATCATAAAAGATCTATGTGACCAATAAAATTCAACATAAACAATGACAATAGAACCAAAGCAATAAATGACAATAATCACAACAATCCACATGTGCCAGTAACAGTCTTAAAAGCCAATATGAAACCCAATAATCAACCATTAAAATGGTAAGAGAATAAAAAGGTTTTAACCTGGCACTGATACATATAGAGTCAGCACCAGTCATATATCCCTGGGGAGCTGATTCCGTAATTGAGGTGCCACAGCGAAGAATGCCCTTCCCCAGTGACTCCCAGAGAAGGAGCTCCATAGTTGACCTTAGGATCCGGTTGGCATATTTGGGAGGAGCTGTTCCTTTAGATATCCAGGCCCTAAGCCGTTTGAACGTCAATTGGTAACCTGTACAGTTGATAAAGCACAGGGCTGGTACAGTTGATAAAGACAGGCTGCCCTGTTTTGTACCAGCTGAAGTTTCCAGACAGTTTTCAAGGGCAGCCCCATGTAGAGCACAAGAATGGGAAAGCTATTCTATTGTATTCTTAGCCAAGGTCATTTCAGGCCCTTTCCCTTGTGATGTCTAAATTGCCATTCGTGTGCCTCATGTCTGAAACACGTGTTCTTATTCTAGGAATAAATCAGCCAGATCCAGGCTTCACTGGAGCTACCACTCCCCAAAGCCCTCTGATGTCCCCAAGAATGGCTCATACCCAGAGTCCCATGATACAGCAGTCTCAGGCCAATCCTGCCTACCAGTCCTCCACAGAGATGAATGGATGGGCACAAGGGAACATGGGTGGAAACAAGTAAGTTCACAGAACTCAGAATGCGTCATGACTTGGCTATGATTTGAAGCATATGAGGTTTGACCAATGTCACAGAAGTCACCTGTAGACTTATTTAGCAGTCATCCTGTGACTCTTCTTTTCTGATGGCCATTAAAGAATAGACGCAGTGTTCAACCTTTGTCATATGCGTAACACAGCAACTTTGCACTGACACTGAAATTATTGTTGGAAGCACCATGGGGATGAAAACATAAGTGTAAGCTACGATTTTAACATGAGGATGCATCATATATGAATTGTATCTTCTCCTGTGAAACTTTTTTGCTGTTGCATTAGCAGTTTACTCACTTTTTAACATGGAAATATCCTTACGAGGTGAGAAATTCCTGTTACACTTCTGTGATTGTAGGGAGCCAGATACAACTACAGAAAAGACACTATTTTCAATAGAATACTACTAAAACAGTACTACAGGATTTTTAAAGCTGTTTTTGCACTGTACTCTCCTTTTTACTGTCCAGGATTATGTGTTTTGGGGTGTTTTTAAACCCTACTAAAATAAATGCTGCATGTATTTATGAGTGATATGCTAATAAAAACACTGGGTTTGAAGCCTCATGGTGCAATCCTGTGCATATTTATTCAGAAGTAAGTCCTTTATTAAGTTCAGTGAGGCTCATTCCCAGGTGAATGGATATGGGACCGTAGCCTAAATTTAGAACTAACTATGTAAATTAAAGCCTCTGATAATTGAAAGCTATTTTAGTTTAGTTTTTTAAAGATATTGTTCATTATGAAGAGATATGGATCTCAATATGGTTGTCTTTCAGAATATCTATTTGTGGACAACTATGCAAATACATGCTGCATTGTCACAGCATCTCAAATGAACATGCTAAATTGAGTACTGTGCATGGATGGACCTAAGGTCTCCTCAGAATATTGCATCCTTTTCATCCTGATAATGAAAGATAAACAGGAAAAGTAGTCTTCTTTTCCTAAGAAATTACTCCCCTGTAGTTAGGAGATTTATGTAGCAAATTGTTGGTGCAAAAATATTTGCATATCTAATTTTATTAATCCCAAAAACAGAGAAAGGCTTACTTCAGCTCCGAAAGTGATGCCTGTATGCATAGATGAATTTGTCAGTTGGTCCCCGCAAAGTGACCAGGACTATTGAGACTTGTGGCATGTGACTTGCTCCTTTTGATTCTGACATGCTGATGTGTACTTCATCCTGTAGCATATTTTCACAACAATCTCCACCACACTTTGGGCAGCAAGCAAACACCAGCATGTACAATAACAACATGAACATCAATGTATCCATGGTGACCAACACAAGTGGTATGAACAACATGAACCAGATGACAGGGCAGATCAGCATGACCTCAGCAACCTCTGTGCCTACATCAGGGTTGTCCTCTATGGGTCCTGAGCAGGTGAGAACTCTTGGCCTGAACACTTCAGAAAAGGAACTGACTTTAACATTGCTAGTGCTTTGTTAATACTATATTGATCTTATTTAGTTCTTCTGAAAAAGAAAATAAGGGCCTCCAGTTAAGGAAGCCATGACTTGTTCGCTCTGTAGATGTAGCTTACACTGTACTTACAACACTGGCTTTGCTGATCTTTCTCTGAGCAGTCACATTTACTTGGTAGCCATCTAAGTAAGATATGCAGAGAGTAAGGCACAAACTGCTGTGTGGAGCTGATTTTTCTGGCAGGAAATATGTTTATAGATTAGCTGTACTTGTACTGTACTGTTAGACTTTTTAAAACTTAGATGCAAGTTAACCCTACATAAATAAAGCATTTATAATATAAAGCATAAATAAAACAACATGAAATCTAATATGCTGTTTCCCCCTGCACACACACATTATACCCTCAAAGTCTGCACTGGAGAACTGGCAGATTCTCCAGAACAGATATTTAGGAGGTGGGGCAACTCCAAGGGCAGAGAAAAAGAGAAATTCCCATGATGAGAACAGAAGGATTCCGCCTTATCTATTGCACGCACTCACGCGCACACACACAGGTACACACAGTGAAGTGAAGGCAAATCTACCTTCGGGTTCAGATAAATAATTTCTAAAAACTATCAGGGTACAGGACACAACTCTGGGTGCATATTCTACTTGCCATATTCTACTTGTAGCTGGAGTTACCATCATTGGAATTTTCTCTGGAGAAATCCCCCTTTCAGCATAACCTTAGAATAATGCAAGCTACCAAAACATCCAGAAAGAAGTGAGCTAGAGCATGACATCTTGTATAAAATGCATCTCATTATCATTCTACTCTTATCTTTCTGCTTTTTGTATTACAAGAAAGGTGCGTGCATACATGCATATTGTGTGATATGCATGCATCTCCTATTTCCCTAATAAAGTCACACCTTCCCTGTTTTTTTTTCTCCCTTACCTTAGGTTAATGATCCTGCTATGAGAGGAGGCAATCTTTTTCCAAACCAGCTACCTGGAATGGATATGATAAAGCAGGAGGGAGATGCATCACGGGTAAGAAACCATTAAATGCCAACCTTGAATCTTTTGAAGACAGAAAATAATTCAGTTTTCTGTACAGACATGTTTATAGACAGAAGTGCATCAAAACATACATGATCTATTCACATGACCTCTATAGGATGTTTATTTTGTGCAAAATACGATTTCATTTCACCTGAAATTCTTGTTTCTATGCTACTGAGCTGAAGTTTGCAGAAGATAATGCATTACATTACTCAACTAAGGTGTACTATTAATGTCCCCCCTCTTTTTTCCCCCCAGAAATATTGCTGACCCTGAAGATTGCTTGTATCTTCAACTGACTGGGCTGCCCAGCCCAAACTACTTACCAGTTTGAAGAGCTGCATATGTTTGGTTTTGTCCCAATTGTTCTGCCAGTCAGTTCTGCTGGAAAAACTAGAGTTTAGTGCTGCAAACAGAACGACGCCACTCTGAGTGGAATCAAAACCATTGTTGGTGGAAGAGCAGCCTCTTCTTTAACAGTCTGAAGCTAGCGTACAGACAGTTGCTCAGTCTGTTCACTGCATTCACCTTAGTGCAACTTAGATCTCTCCTGCAAAGTAAATGTTGATAGCCAGTTTTCATAAACCGTGTCAGATTGAATGTATTTAAATGTATGTATTTAAGGAAAACCAACCATGCTCTCATTCTGTTCTGTTTTTAGTTTTAGATCCTGATAGCTTTCTTTTGTTATCCTTAGCTACACAGTCAAAGGTTTTTGTTCCTTCTGGAAATCAATGGTTTTATATTACCTTTACTTTGGGAGGTAGAAAGTAGGCTGGTTGACAACTCCCAGAGTGGTAGATGACAAAATGTGGAGAATAAACCTCTAACAAATTGGTTTGGGGGAAAGCGATCTACTGGCTAGGTATACTGTACTAGAAAACAAAAGCAGTCATTCTTAATAGGTTTACATTTGTAAACGGGTTAAAATATCCTGTGAGAGGGCTGTTGATAAAGTTTGTTCCTTATTTTGAAAAAAAGAATCATGAGTCAAACAACTTCTGTTTCCATTTTAATTGATTTCAACAACTTAAACGTTTACTAAATTTTGCATTCTTTTTCTTCTGCCTTCAATAGCCCTTTCTCTGTTTCTTTTCTGATAAGATAGAGAAATGAGTAACCCCAAACTAGATCCCTAGGTCTGTTACCTGAGCTCTAGGTTTTAGGTAACTACTTGCTAATGACTATAAATAAAGGTGCATCTATTGGTGATGGAAGTGGCAGGATTGAGGCATAATATCAGAGCTAAAGGCATCTGATTTAAACAATAAATTTCATTTTCCCATCTCCACAACTGGAGAAAACAATGACTTAAGCTATGGCAGATATCACTACAGAGTTAACCATCACGTGTTCTAATTATTTTGAAGCAGTGTGGACTACAAGGACATTTTGTAAGGTACATAAAAACAAGTTTCTATGTAAACAAGCAATAATTTAAGTTGAAGACTTTAGTGTTTTAATTGTATAATTTTGTGAGGTATACATGTTGTGGAGTTGATTTCCAAATGAGGTACTTCAGTATTAAATTAGATATCTTCATAGCTGTGTGTGTGTCTCCTGAGGGGGAAAAGTGTTTTGTAAAGGATCACAATGCCTTGATTAGACCTAATTTGTAGGCTTGAGACTTCATTTTCTAAACCTTGCAATTCTGCTCATAAGTCATTTATCTAACCTTATATGCAGCCACTGTAGGAGCCAATTCTTGACTTTTTTGTATGTTTATATTCTTTCTTAATAATCTTAAAGAAACTGTTGTTCAGCAGGCCACTGCTTAAGGTGGTTTTACTCTGCCTGCTGTGGTTTGAGTAATCTTTTAATATAAGCTGGCATCAGTTTCTGAGGACTTGAAATATCAGGAAACTGATTGTTTTCGACCTCCTGTTTCTCTCTTCTCCGCAGTCCACACACTTTCGTACCTGAACTCAAATTTTAGATGTTATTTAAAATGCAATGCATTTATATTATCTCAATCATCATTCATGTCTTTGGGAGTGGAAGGTTTGTTACCCTACAATCTTGTTTGTTTGTGATGAGGGTTAAAATATACAAAGAGTCTGATTTTCATAAAGCACTGAAAAAATATATTAAGGAATATAGAATGCATTTCAAATCATTTGTTTCCCGTTGAGTGGCTGTCCTATTACATGGGGAAGAACTGCAGTTCTTAGCGTTACCACTTTGTAGGTTAAACTCAAAAGTAGTATTTAAACAACTGAGCCATCTGGTGGAAATAAAAAATAGACATCAGTCTGAGTTCCATATCATTGAGAAAAAGTGTTTTCTTTTAATCAGAATTATGTGAAAATTAACCTAACTATTGAATTAAAACTCTTTGCTTTGGAAGACAAAATTAGTTTAAAATAATTGTAATTATTATTTGTCAAATCTGTTTTATTCAAATCTATGGTTTAAAAGAAGTAATTATAAATAAGACTTCAAAGTATATCTGCATTATTTGCTGATACTGTAATTAAATTTAAAACAAAGTAATTGTGTCTATCACAAATTTATTTGTTTTAATGATTGTTACTTTCATCTGACTAAATGAGATAAAGGCAGCAAGTTTAAGCATTTCTTAGTATGCTAATCAAGACAAAGTTAATGATGCCAAATCATTTTTTAAATATAATCAGTATTTTTGATTCAGTACACAACAATATTGCTAAAGACAGTAATTGAGTTTTATGTTTGAAAATAGATCAGTGTTCTCTCATATTAAATGTGAAAGAATTGGAACATAATCAGTCAGAAAAATATTCTTGTATATCTAACTCCACAGGACAAAGCTTCATTCAACAAGTTCAGGTAAGGTAATAACATAACAGATCTTTTTCAACATTTAACTAGTCACTCAGAGTTTTAAAATATTGGCCCCACCTGTCTTTCTATTGGTCTGTATTAACTGAAGACAATGTTTTTGTCATTTATACAATGCATTTTTAATCTGTGTTTAAAAAATGGAGTTCATATGGGCTTAACACGATGAAAAAGGTGGTTCAGCTCTACTTGCAAAACCCAAAGATACACAATCAGTTTTGAAATGCAACTTAAGCCATTAATTGTTGGTGTGAATTTAAAGTTTTCTAGTATTTGTATGGTAGTATTGCTGCCTAAGAGCAAAAGCATTCTCTGCACAAAAGAAAATTACTGTAGTGGCTTTGGTTTTTAATTAGAATTTTCTCCCTGGTGTTTCTTTGTAGACTAAAAAAATCTTTTCAGTTTCTTACTACAGGTAAAGCTATGTGCAAGAACCTCAAAATGCTAAAATCTAGCATAATGCCTTAGATCTGTTTTTAAGTCTTGTATATTCCTACATAGCTGTCTGATGTATTATATTTGTATAGTGAATTGTGTACAATTTTGGAATAAGTGCATCATCACTTAGCTTTCAGTCGTTGAGTAGAGATGATGGACACATTTCTTTAAACATTGACTCATTTTTTTTTTCTTTTTGTCATTTGTGGGTTTTATTTGTACAGTTCCTCATGAAGTTACATCTGAGATGTGTATGAGTGTGTGTATATGAAAAGATTATACGAGGGTAAAACTAAGCAATATGTAAACTATGGTTCTTCAGGAGAAAGCTTACAGTGTTTTCAGGTTGTGATTTATTTTCAAGACTGAGTTGACTCTGAACATCACTTTGTTCACCTGCATTGATGTTTGTATTTCTAGTGTGAGCAGTTTATGCAAAGGTAGATATATTCAGAGAAATTTTAAATACATTTATGCAAGTTAATATTGCTTTGCTGATGCTATTTGCTTATTTGATGTTAAATAATGCTATTGTAAATAAAGAATTCTGTTATTGCATCATTTAATAAATTTTAATGCCTTCGGGTTTTACATGGCTTTAGACATAGCACCATTCCTTCTGTTCAGCCTTTTGTGTCTCTTCACAGCTGGAAGGGAGAGAATAACCACAGCTTTCCTCACCGGCCCTCACTTTCACCTCACTTGTTCTACACTTGGCAAGCTTGGGTTATTTTACTCATAGAATCTGTATCTGAAGTCAGGTATGAGTAGCATAGTCCTGCACACAGACCATGTACATGCAGATGCCTTGGAAATCCATGGACCACCTCTGGCCCAAGTAAGGTAAACAGTATTGCTTGCCCACCTACATCTTCTGTGTTTCCTTCTACTGCTTCTCTAGCCAGTAACCTAATGTGAGGCAGCACAAGAAGCAGCATGACAAGGAATGCAGAATGAATCACTTCTAGACTTTTGCAAAGCAGCAGGAGCAAATGGTGCCAGACTGCCACCTGCTACATTTCTTCCTATTTCTTCAAGAAATGCTACAACAAAGATGGGAAAGAGAGAACTATACAAGCTGCAAGTGCAGTGTGGGAAAAGAGACATAAGTTGGAGGATATGCATGAATATAAGGAAAAGAGCAGTGGAAGAGTTTGGCTCATTTGTTCCAGCGTTTTTTGCCCCTACTGTTTCAGTATTGACATTTAAAGTAGGCATTGAGTTCTGCCTAATATAAAGTGATTGCAAGAAATGCTTTAAGGAAATAACAAAACCAAAACTTCTGGATAGTTCCTTCTAGTTCATTTTGATATTTGTGGACATGTTGTGAAAACTTTAGTAGTACAATATCGCAAAGCTTATGCATATTCAGTAAAAGACAGTTTGTAAACCATATGGTAGATCAGACTCCATGTTTATCTCAATCAAAACAGTGGCAACAGCTTCCCCCAAAAGGTGTGTTTGATTCAAATCATTAGCACTTTAAGAATTACCTGGACACTTATGTCAGCCTATCCAGAACCATATCCTGAGTTTTGAAGGAATAACTCTTTCACACAGAAATTACAACAGCAGAGAAAATGGTGCAAGTAAGTAGATGAAAATGATTCATTAGTTATAAATAGACACCTCAGTTGCACATTAATCCTCTGGTTTCATTGGCTTGTTCTTTGCAGGCCACCACTGCTTACTAGTGGTCCTCATTTTCTGGAAAAAGAACTGGAAAAATGTTCAGTGTTCTAAATAATGTTATCTCATTTAGCATGTTTGAGTTATTTTTACTACCCAACACACAATCTCCCTCAAGAAGCACACAAAATATCTCTTATTTAATTAACAGATATAAAAATGTAATTCCTGTCAATTTTGTGTTGCATAAATATACTAAAGTTTTTCCCAATAGAGGCAAAATGTTGAACTAAAATATTTCCTTAGGGAAAAATTAAATTAACCATACAATATAGTTTATACACTATATATAAACACTTTCACAAATATGTATGAAAATTATTGTATTGAATTATTTGTAAAATTGTACAGACAGTAGCATATACTTCTTCATGGTGTTTACATTTAACAAAGAATTGATTGCACCTAGAAGAACACAATGTTTTTAGGATTTGCACCAATGAGCTGATGTGTCAACAATTTAATTTTCTTTTGCTGAGGTAATGTAGTACTTTCAGTTTCCCTCACTCTCTGTACTGTTTTTTGGTTGCATTTCAAGTCCAGCAAAACCTTACTCAGAACCATCAGTTGAACATGTTATTTACAGGATGGAAGTGGGTCTATGGATATAGGCTGGGGAGCTTGGACAGGAAGATGTATTGCACTTACGTCCTGTTTGTGGGATTCCATGAGCAAGTGGCCAATTACCGTGTGAACAAAATGCTGAACTTAATGTTGCTTGGGTCTAACACAATATGGCTCTTCCTGTGTGCCTCAGTGAAATAAACAGCAATCACACCTTGCCCTGTGTTTCAGTTTGCCTTCCATTCATTACTGAAAAATGTCAGCAACAGAGGGCAAGTGCACCATGTTTAAGTCTGGTCCAAGCCCAGACAGGAGCAAACTGCACTGCGCACAGGAAGGGGTTGTCCTGTCTTATTTGTCAGTTCCTTCATGGGCAACTGAACACTACGACAATGCTTTCCTTAGAAAAATAACTTCTAGAAGTCCATATCCTATATTTAATTAACTTGATTGATTGGAGTACAACAGCCCAAACAACTTTGGAGAAATCAGACCTATGGTGTAGAAAATTTTCCATAGAAAAATACAGTGTCAGAAAAAAAATCTATGAAGTTTTTCACTCTACATCACTGCTACTTCCTTACTTTTTCTATGTCACCCAATGAAATAGGTTAAGAGTTTTAGAAAGTGTTTCATACAATGCACAATTAAGCTTTCAGAAACCGCTACCTTACCAGTGCAGCTGGGCACGCTGAGGCACTGGCATTATTATTATTATTATTATTATTATTATTATTATTATTATTATTATAACATTAGTGCTGTGGTGTGTGCACGTGTGGGTGTGGGTGTGGAGAGGGTTGCTTCCGATGTCCCTGCTTCTCTCTTTCCTTCCCCTACCACCATCTCTATGCTTTAAACTCCTGTATTCCTGATATATTAGAGCACTTTTGCATACATGTGCTTTCCGGACACACACACCCAATTAAAAGAATAGAGATTCTGAGCATAAGCAGTTTTGCATTTCCATCAAAAGCCTAGCACCATTACAGCTGCAGGAATAAAGGAGTTTACTTTTGCTACTCTGATGCTGAACATATTTACTGGAAAATACGCATCACCCTTGTTACAGGAAAGGATAATCTATGCTTAAAGTAAAAAGCATTAACAATTGAGCATCTGCAACTATGCCAATGCCACCCCAACTATAAGATTCTTTTTAAAGTGATACTGGAACAAGCAGAGGTCTAAGTGATCCTAGTGTGCCTCCATTGTCATGATGCAGATATCAGGTCTGTTTGCTTCTGCCTTCATCACCTGCTGCTGTTCAGGTGGTGTTTTGGTGGGGGGCAGAGCTCAACTGTGACCTCAAGGTCCATCGCCTAGCTACAACACTGCGTATAACATAAGTCTATCAATTGCTCATTAGCCATGTGAAACCACCATGGTCAGAGGCAATATCTGAGTATTAGTTACTAAGATCAAACAATATAGCAAGGCTAAAATATCAGTCTGGCCGCTTGAAAAGGGATTACTGAACTAGATGGAAGTTTAGTCTGATTGAGTAGAATTCTTGCAACTTTGCCTTAAAGTTACAATGTGGATGATGTCTGAAACCCTTCCAAATTAAATCCCTGCTATTCTTTACAGTCATGATACAGTGAAACTAAAATGTACACAAGAGAGAACTATTCATATCTAGACAGTGTTTCTTCAGTGTTTCCACTGCAGTTATGAAGTCACTTTGTAGAGATTCAGCCCTCAGTTTAAGAACAATTGAAACGAAAGCAATTCCTAGCTTCTCTACTATTTCTTCTAAAAAGTTGATTGATTATGATAGCAGGACATTAATACTGTATAAGACTATTGCAAGTAATAACAAGTAATAAATAAATTTTGGCACAGTGGAAAGGATGTACTTCTAAATTGTTTTGGCCCTGTGTCTACTGAAGAGAAAAGTAAGTACTATTTATTGTACCAGTGCATACAACTATATCAGACTCAACTACTTCTGAAGGAAACATGTATCAGAAAAGACTACTCATCTCCCAGCCTGAAGTGGTTGCTTTGACCCAACATTCAACTCTTTCCTGGTATTGAGTTATCAAGTCCACCCCTCTTCTAGTATGCTTTTCAAGGTAGAATGAAAGGCATGAATGCACAGAGGTATGGAACTGGTGCTCCTGTTTTTGTGCCAACTTTGATACGGGAATTACTAAGAAGTGTTGTTTTTGCTTTAAAGGACTTTCTCCCAATATGCCTCTGAAAGTCCAGACAGCTAGGACTTTCAGAGGTGGGTGCTTTAGAGACCATCCTGCATGCAGACATATGCACCCTATGAGGGTGCTAGAAACAATGGACCCTTTTACAACAAGTTTAGAAACGAAAATTCTTCAGAATACAGTACCTGTATAGTGTCCTTAGCTAATCCAGTATTTCCCACTTCACTTAAATATGATAATACTCAGGCTTCTCTGAGACTAGAAGAGCTAGACTAGTTTTCACAAGGCACTGTGGTGGTGACTCTTGAAAGACATGTGCCCAGACTCCTTCAGCCTTGGGAGAAGAGCAAACACACACTCCAATTGAGATGAGTCTTTCCTTTGTCAAAATAATAAAGGAGATCACGTACACACACACACACACACACACACACACACACACACACACACTGGGGTGGGTAGTGGGGGAGCAGAGACAGTAGAGCAAAGAATGGAGAAGTCCACAAATCTTGGTAAGTTCTAATCAAACAGCAAACAAAGTTCAATTCTTACTAATCAGTACTAGTCACATTCAAGAGGTACAGCTATCACATCGTAACAGAGGATCATATTGTACAGGTAACTGTCAAAGGCTAGTCAGATTAAAAGGAAAAAAAGAGGTGGCAACCCTTAACTGAGCACCACAAACATGACTGAAAACACAGGGATTCAAACCCAGACCTTTTAAGAGCTAAGAAATAGAAAGGATTGGAAGGATTGATTTTTTCAGTTCTTCACTTTTTCCCACAGTCAGATGTATTTAACCTTAAGTTCTTCCTGCCCTACTTATGAAGAAATTTCTATATTTTGTTAAGTTCTTCTCAAAGAAACTAAGTAGATGACATTTTTACCAAACCCTAAATTCACATAAACGTGATGTGCCTTCGTAATAGTTTATACTAGTGAAATCCCAACTCAGATTTATTTCTTAAAGAAAATGAATCTGATCCCTAGAGCAGGTGGTGGGAGTGGCCAGGTAATCTTCCCACTGGATCATTTTGTCAGTCTTTGGTAATGGACAGCATTCATTATGCATCATCTCACTTCAGAGTTGAACCAAGTATCACTAGTCAAAACCCCAGGAAGTTCATAAGCTATCACCAG